ACCCACACGCAACATGTTGCAATCCCCGAACCTACGACCCGTAAAATATTCGCCGCATGGCTCGCAATGGGCTACCCGACCGTGCTCGAGAGTCGCCTCTCGTAGCTGCGCCACACGTAGGTGGACAATTTATCGTCGTGGAAGCACAGCGAGTGAGACAGAGAAAGAGAGAAACAGCTTTGTGCTTGCACAAATCGGGAACGCGCTGACCCCGTGGTAGTGCTGTTTCCGTTCAAATACTTTCTCGTGAAACTTTCTCGTAAGATTCTTTGAGATACTAATTAACACGATGAATAATGATAATAATCACAAGGTATAAGATAAAATTGTAGAAAAAAGATAATATATAATTGTAGAAAAAAGATAATATATGACAATAATAAAAGCAATTTAAAAGACACGTACAAATAAATATTAGTACTCATACACAAAAGTTAGGAGTTAAATAAGCTTCGTAAATCGACATCTTTCGAATCTGAGTGAATCACGATTACGGAATCGAAGAATATTCCCGAACACAAAGCGATCCCACTGCGAAGGATCTCGAAGGCGCTAGCCTCCTCCGTCGGCGCGGCGCTCGAGATTCTCGAGAGCCCGAGAGACGGGCGCATTTCGATCGATCGTCGGCCGAAGGCAGCACGGCGACGGCCAAAGCGAGCAAAGACAGAAAGAGAAAGAGTGAGGGAGAGAGAAAGAGAGAGACCTAGCGCCAAAATAAATCAATAAAATAGCGAACCGAGCCGGGCACGTAGGTAGGTGCATACACGTACGTATGGCCGTACGTATGGATACGAGACGAGGCGAAGAGAGCCATGGCACGGCGTGGTGCGGTGTGGTGTGGCGTGGTGTAGATCGGAGTGGCGCGACGGACGAGGAGAGAGAAAGAGAGAGAAGAGCCGAAGCGAGCGAGAGAGCGAACGAGCGAGCGAGGTCGAGACACGCGGCAGCTGTCTGGCGCCAGGGTCCCCCTGTTCCCTCAAACAGTCGCGCCGAATGCCACCCACCTTAGCCGACCTATCGTGCCATTCTCAAACCTGCATCCCGGGAGCCGGCTTTCCCTCTCTTTCCTTCCTACCCTACCCGTTAAACTCGCGTTCCTTCTTCCTGCGACCTTCCCTCGTCGTCCTGCGGACGCTCGGCTCGCTTCGTGGTCGACACTTTTGACGGATCGACGACTCGCATTCGTGCTTACAGCCGTTACTTTGTGAGCTCCGAGTCTCTCTTATCCATAGATTTGTCGTTCAATAATCCAATTTATAAATATCGAGTGGAGTAGCAATAAAAGCTAAACGTTGGTATCCTTGTTTTCTCTATGTAGTTTCCCAAGTTATAAGGAGAGGATACATGTTATCGTCGAATTTACGTAAAAATGTGAAGGGATCTAACGGCATGCGAGAATCGACGATCAAGCCGCGGAATGTTTCGATCGCGATGGGAATTGGGAAACGTTAGGTCGAGAGTTTTGATATTTCTGTGCTCTCCCGGAAGCAGCGCTCTATCTATAACTGGCTCCAAATAAAAAGGCGACCACGCGCGTGTTTATGATTCCGTGCCATCCTCTCCGCGGCTCTAAACTTCACGCGTATCGCATATTATATTGCCTCGCGCAATATCGCGCAAATATACGTGACGTTCGCTAAGCCGACGAAAGTGCAATCGCGTTGTCGACGATTCTCGTTTCCGGCAATCGTTGCGGCGCCGGCGACAGATCGAGCGTGTGCGTCCGCATAATAAGTCGCTCTTAAACCCCAAAGGAATTCCACCAAGCTCGAAACGAAAACCACTTGGGAATCTTTCGTCACGGAAAAGAGAAGAGATACGTGCCACATCCATCTCTCGTTGCAACGATCTCTGCATTAATCTGCATTAACCGTCTCTCTCTCGTTTCTCTTATGTACAAAAAGAAATCTAAATTAACTGTATCTCACATACAAAGAAAGAAGTAAAGAATAAAGAAATATCAAAAGCGAAAAAACAACAGTAACCTAGACTTTCATGACGATGTGAAAAGTAACTGACTATAATGAAGACTCTTTACAATTTCTTTAATTACATTTATGGAACAAATGTATTGAATTAATATACTGTATGTTGTGAATTAATCATTAAATTTACATCATATAACAATATAATTTATTTTGTTGCATTGATGCAGCAGAACGAGAGATTTACTAAGAGTTACACTCAAATTGCCAAACATGATATTGTTTGAAGGAAGTTTTGATAATTTTTTCCGTATTTCTATCTTGCGTCATTCTGTGTGATACACGTGCTATATGAACTACTCATTAGGAACTCATTATGAACCACACAACATTTAGAAATCGCGTCTAATGAAGTTGCTGCCAAATTTACGTACACCTGTCTATCGGGAATTTAAGCGTGTAATTTAACAAAGTCTACGCAAGCAACAAAGTAATCTAACAAGTCAACGCGATTAAGTCGCCGCTCTAAAGACCCACAGAAAACGAGACACAGTCCAAATAATTTGCCTGAAAGCAACATTTAATAGCTTCGGGCTATTACGGTACGGCGGAGATGTCTTCTCGATTTTGGAACGCCGTAGCGCAAATTGCATTCTACACGACCACTCCCGCATTAAACGCGCGAAACGACGCGAACATCGTCGTCGCCGGCCGTATCTCGTTCTCTCGTGTAAAATCGCGAGGAGCGCGCGCGTACGCGCTGGGCACAGACGCAATTTGCTGCCGGCTTGGGAATGTCTGACGTCGTCAGAGCAGTGGCCTTTGCATTGGCAAAGGCAGATAGTAAAAGTAAAGGGGCCTCCACGTACGAGAGGAAAACTCGTCAACGTCGCAAACGTTCTTCGCCCGAGTCGATCGTTCGTTCTTTTCCGACGACGACGATGACGACGTTGACGACGACGACAACGACGAGGACGGTGGGAATTCGCGATCGATCGAGCGTGAACAAACGCCACACGCTCCAGGCTCGAACCCTTCCACCGCGGATCAAATTATGTCCGTTCAACGTACGATCGTCGGCAGTTTATCTATTAAAATACCTCTCGAGTAAGCTTGATAATTACAAGTAAACGAACAATTATGTTGTGATGCTGTTTCCCATTGTATGCAATTTTTTTTATCTTCAAGACCATATCTCTGCATCGTGCGAATCATTCGCGCTTTCAGTATCCGTATCGTCGAGAGAGATATCTTTATAGTAAGTATTAGTAATTACAAATAAACGGCTAATCGCGTTGTAATGCTGTTTCTTGTCATATAAATTTGTTTTTCATTTTTTTTCTCGATAATTGTGGGCATGTGAAAGCTGTTGAGTGACTTTATTTTGGTGGTTATAAAGTGAGAGTTAAAGTAGTTCACGCCATATTTTTCCCTACTTTTCTATAAAAAATAACCATCTACCATTGTAAAATATTTGATATGTCTTTCGAGTTTGTGTCACGTCTTTCATGAATTTGTTTTCGATATTTCGTGAACATTCCAATTTGTTTCTTCAAGAAACTTCTTCAATAGAGGGACAACTTGAGACTTTTTACAATTGTGAAGATTAATATAAGGCTGTCTTAAAAATATCGTATTTCTTTTTTAATTAATAAAATTTTCATTTTTGTTTTAAAAAGACCCGCGGAAAGTTAAAACTATGTCTCTGTAATAATATCATCGTCCACGTTCCGCAAAAGAAGAATCTCGCGACGTCGGAAAATTATTGAACGAGCAGAATACAACGCGGGGAAACGGTCGTCGTGAACGCACGACGACGACGAGTCGCGGTGAGAGAACAGCGTTCGTTCGCTCTCGCTTTCCTCGTTCTGACCGGGGCCAAAAGCGTTTCAGGCGTTCCACGAAGCAACGCGAGAGCCCGAGAGCGGCCCGAAAAACGACGAGTCCGCGATCCGCGCGGTGCGTCATGCGTGAAAACCTACGCGCGCGTCAGCCCCGTGGAACGTGCGTGCTGAGGAAATTTCTTCGTCGACCGTCGTCGGACGACCCGCCGGCGATGCATCATTCCGCCCTTTCGAGAAAATTTCGCGGGCCGATGGACAGAGATAAATCATTGTCACAATTGTAATCGTGCGTCATCGAGCGCGAAATTGTCAGACACATTTTGCATCTAAGACGCCCAACATTCCAACTTGAAAAACGTGAATTTTTCTTCTTTACTCTCTTTTAATAATATTAATAATAATGCTTATAATTTTTAACGGGTGAGCACCGCTTTGTCTATATAAAACAGAAAAAATGCGATAATTACTTGCTGGTTGGAAAGATGACACGTAAAAAGTGCAAAACATGAAAATATGAACTGTACAACAAAAACTTCCTACGCTATATGATTCTCACTAGCATTAGAATTTTTCAATTAGAAAGTATGCACAAAAAATGAAATACTATTAAATAGGAAAACCTGTTCCATCATTATATGAGTAGCGAACTTTGTTATTAATTAACCGAATAAATTTTGTTCATTCTCAGTTCTGTTTTCGTTTTCACATCTTTCATGCGTAGTAAATGCAGGAAAAACGTTATATCTTGATTGAAATTTCAAGTAGTTTCACTCTTCAGTTACCAGATAACAGTTAACATGACTGTCCAGTTGCTGCTCGAAAACAACATTAAATTTCTCCCAAGATTCTTTCATCTGAATTATTCGAAAAGAAAACCGTCGTGAAACGCGAGAAGAGATCGATCGTGGCGTTCATCAAGGTTACCCACGTGGGTAGAGGCGTAGCCGTCGATCAGTGGCGTAAGTCGGAGGAATCTCGAGCGGCTTAATGATTATTCGCGATCCCGGAGAAGAAGAGAAGAGGTGGCACACGCCACGCGAAAGAGAAAGCTGAAAATCATTCCGCTTTTTCAAAAGTTCGCCAAACGAAATCCAACTCGCGACTTGATTCGCCGCCGTCGTCGTCATCGTCGTCATCGTTATAAAGACCCTCGCGGGACGCTCCGTATATCTCTCGGCGCAAGATCCGACAGCATATGGAGGGATACGTATAACCTTGAGGACATAGTTACCTTCTCCGTTGGTGGTAAGCGAGCCGGGTAGTGGCAGGGGCGTGCTGTTTTTGCACCGACGTTGATCCCCTTCGCTAGGCGCACGATCTGAAAATAAACGGCAACCCCTTGAGAAGCTTTCCTCGCGCGAGAGACTATTTCTTCCTCTCTCTCCCCCTTCATTTCTTCTGTTCCTGTCTCCTCGCTCGCTCAACACACTCACACACTCCCATTTTCTCTCTCGCTCATGCACTCCTCAGGCTTTTCTTCCAAAGAGACGGAAGTACAGATGCGTAATCGATTGTTTGTGATCGGTTTAACGTTTAAAGCAGGTGAGGAGCCCGCAGAAAAGAAAAGACGAATCGAAGCGACAATCGCACGAGCAATATTGCAACGTAATGCATCGTCACTATGTATGACAAGGTTTGTTATCGCGAGAGAATCTTCGATGCGCGAGCAGGGTTGATTCTCGCACGGAAAATCTAGCGTCGACATAAAAGACTCATCGTCGGCGAATACCGGCAGCGAGGTTCCACATAATCCCATACATGACCGTACGTCCGTGTCTCCGCCCAACTAATTGACGTGACATTAGTCACGGTGTTATTTCTTCGCTTTATCGAACGGTATAAATTCGATTTCCTCGGCAGATGCGCAACGACGGTACGATTTTGCTTGTTGGATGCATCGTGTGAAAAATTACAGGGACCTTCAGCGGGTGTTAATGCTAACACGCGACTTAATACTGCGAACGCACCGAGGTCGGTGGAGGGGCAAACCGAGTAGCAAATTAGACGCTTTTCTCGTCTATTTATTGTAAAGAGAAAAACGATTCACGGTGACTTGCTACTCTTGTGTCTCCCGGCGCGTTTCGAGTCGTCGCCGCGATTAACGGCGTCGACAATTCGCGAGAATTCATGATCGCTCGCCGCGGGTGCGCGCGGCGCGACGATAATTAAGCGCGACGATTTTCACGGGCCGAGACAGAAACGGCCAAGGTAATCGCGGACGCGTGATTCATAGTCCTCGCGGAAACTTGAACGTCTCTCTTGCTCTCTCTCTCCCTCTCTCTCTTTCTCCCCATCTCTTTTTATCTCTCTATCTCGCTTGTGTCGCTGTGTGGCACAAAGGAGGTGACAGAATCGTCCAAAATAATAATTCGCCCGGGACGGATAATTTATTCGCAGCGCGCCGTGGCAAAGGTCTCGTGTATAACGGGCGGGACCGACCGACTAATTCGCGCGAAACAATACTAATCTATGCGTTTTCCTCGTAAACGGCCCACAAGCACCCGATTTAATGCCCACTGAGATTCGTTTGTTTCTCTTACGCCTCATCGTAAAACTCGCTCTCGTCCTGTAATTCGGTTCACAAGAGTTCCTTCAACTCTTACGAACAAAAGCCGTTTATATTGTCTCTCTTAGGGCCGGTTTTTCAATAGCAGTTTTCAATAGCAACTTGGATTCAAGTTTGAACTCTATTCTAACAATGCGTTTGTTTTGTTTAAACCGAGTTTAAGTTGAAATCTAAGTTAAACTATCATTGAAAAACCGGCTTTTAATCACATGTAGCCTTCTATATTATTAGAAATAATAAAATTGTAATAGATACTTAAATAGATTAAATAGATCAAATTAAATTTGATAATTTTATACCTGATAATTTGATTAAATTCAAGATAATTAAAAATAATCAACAACTAAAAACTGATAAAATTTGATAAGTTAATATTTGATGTATTAAATTCAGTCTACTTGTGAAAATAATCAAATATTAAAAACTTAAAAAACAACACGTAACGAAAAAATAATCAAATATTAAAAACATAATTTGATAATTTAATATTCAATAGATTTACGATTTAAGATAGTTACAGTTTAAGAATTATCCGTTGAAAATGAGACGTTCCGAAAATGAGACGTTTCGAATATCTCGAAAGATCGTTACACGAGTAATGGGTGCTTATATTAAAAAAGATATTAGGGTTCAAGACAAAAGTTTTTTTTCGTCGATGGCATGTTAATAGTTTTAGGGACAGACCATAGAAGGCCGGACTCATTCACTAAAACAGAAAATGACGTCAGGAAGGACAAGTCGGACAAGAGGACGGTCGCATTCCTTTTAGATTCCACAGGCTCGTTCCTGCAGGAGAAGCATTTCCTGCCGTCGCGCCCAAGAACATTAGATGAGGCTGGACGCGCTAAGAGGGAGAGGACTTCAAGGATCTAGAAGGCGGCCCTCTATTTTTAGGACGGAATTATTCGAAAATCCGACGGCCCTCCCCCCTTTTCCCCGTGCCACTCGTCGACGCAACGAACGAACTCTCGGTGGAGACGACCGTCTTCCTTCTTCTCCTTTCGCCAAAACACTCATCCTGTTTCCCACGCGAGCGCCTATCCGTAGTTGTTACGTAAATAGAACCTGAAACTTGCCCAATTCTTTTCCTGAGCAAATTTCTCCGGTCCCTATCGTAACGAAATTAATTCCGATAATACCGAATTAATGGCAATAGCCGGTGGAAATGCCGAAACGACGAATATATATCACCGGGAGAAGAATATCTATCATATTTTCAATCAGCAAAATATTTCTAGAGGTTTTCTCCCCATCTTTAAAGGCTTCTTATTATTTTCTGCAATATTGTACTGGAAAATTTACGACAACTGAAAAAGAGCGCTGCTATTATCATCGCGAATTTATTCGAGCTACGTTACGAGACTGTATCTTGAGGATTGGTCTTCGCAGTTTTCAGGACTTTCCCGACTCCGGCGCACGATGCGGCAAATAATCGGATGTGCGCGGACGCGATCAACGGCGCAAATATTTGCTCGTACGATAAAGAACAAATTGACACGCGAACTCGCGGAGTTTTATTGTACACGGTCGGTGTCCAATACAGCAGCAAGCACAGCCGAGCAAATACAATTTATTTACAAAGTGGTCGAGCGGGAGAGCTCGCCGCGCAGTTTTGGCACGCGCGTCACTCCACAAAGGGAGCGTAAATATAATTCCGCGAATTATGCGTGTCACCGTAAGCCGTTAAGTGCCGCGCGAATCTGTGAGATAGTGTCACCGCCGAGTTTGCAAAAATATATAGCCACGCGGAAGATTCAGCGGCGGCGCCACCGCGCGCTCACCCACCAAGGTGAGCGGATTCGTGAATTATGAGCTTTGACTTGGGAAACCGCAAGAGAAAGGGGGAAGGGATATCACGACGATAACTTCTTTTCATCGACGACGACGACGACGACGTTGTGATTGAGTTAAACATCGTTTGTGCAAGTCTCGATGTAGCTTGACACGAACAATTTTAGCGTAAATGCGTATCCTAATAAATAGAAAATATTAATAGGAATTTATCACTATACTGTTATTTTTTAAAATATTTACGAAATTTCATTTCGCGATTTTCTCAAATTAACGGCAAATATTAATTGAAGAAAATATTTTTGAAGGAACTGCAACCGAAAACAGTAAGTTAACCTTAACAGTCATACCAAGCGCCTTCCGGAAACATACTGGTGTAGTTTCACTCACTTCCTTTCTCTCTCGACCGATTATGATCAGCGATTCACGCGTCTATCACTCCGCTGATCAGTTGGCCTCAAGACTACACTACTTTCTTATACTTTTTTGTTGTCAAGTTTTTCTCTTTCTAATAAATCAATTTTGTAAATTTTAAGACTGATTTTAAGATTGGTCATAAGACAAATATATAATATCTCTATAATAAATTAATTTTTAAAGGTCAAGTTGATGTTAAGTTTTATGTTATTATATGAGTATACGACTATTCTATGTTATTATATAAATCCATAAAATGTGGTAAGTAAATGAAAATTAAAAAAAATTATAAAAATCATGTAAGTAAAAATATAAATAAATGATTTAATCAATTTTAAATCGATTTTTTGTAATAGTTATATTTTTTATAATAGTTTTTTATAATTTTATATTATATATTTTCGAATAGACGATAGTATATATTTGCAAAGTACATAAAATGATGATGTAATTGAAGATGTAACTGTTAAAAAGTACTATAAAGCTTCTTTGATAAGGCAATTATAAAAATTACGTATAAAATGATCATCCTGCATTGGCTCTTAAGAAGCCTATTTTAACATCTCACGTGATTAAAATTTTAAGAATCTTAAAATAATTGTTGTTTTCTGTTTCTGTATACAAACGACGCGTACAAATTCAGAGAGATAACTGATCACAAAACAATTCATCGTTCCGCCAAAGCCCATATTAGATTACCGATTGAACAGGCCGACTCTTATTGGACCTTAGTGAAATCGTTTGATTGGTCCACTAAGGCCTGGTCTACAATAAACGGCGTAAGTCGTAAGCCGTAAGAATTGGCTATATTATAGCTGATTTTTCTTGTAATGATCGTGATTAGGCAATTTTTACGGTTTACGACATCTATTGTAGACCAGGTCTAAGTCCCATTCTACAATAGGTGTTTTAAGCTCTCATGCTTTAAAGAAATTATATCGGTTCTAAGCCTCAAGTCCTAAGCTTTAAAAGATGGGAGTTGGCCAACTCGCTCAAGGCTTAGGGATTAGAGCGTGGGGCAGCGCGAAAAACGCTTAAGGCCGGAAATACATCACAAGTTAGAGCTTAAAACACTTAAGCTTATAGCTTAAAATACTTATTGTAGAATGGGATTAAGAATTGGCAGTCGTAGTCGGCAGTTGGGTCAGCCTATTCAGTCGATAGTCTGATACGGGCTTAAGTCGCAAGTATCATATCACAATGTAAGACGTTGTGTGAAACTGAATGTCGTGACATTGAAGACTGAGCGACGTCACACATTATAATGCGCCGTGGCGCACTTGCGCGATGCGTCGTCGTCGTCGTCGGCGGCCGTTGACGACGAGCAGTGGGCAAAGCTGCATCGAATTAGGATCTCGCCGGCAGATCTTCAAAAGCGGACCGCGGCATCATCTCGTTGGGCTCCTCCGATCCGGAAATCGGCGAGCGAGCGAACGCGTTCTCTCGGTCCGGTCGCAACTCGCTGCCGGCACGAGATCGGTACGGCGAAGGAGGCAACGGAATGCGAGAGAGCCACTCCCGCTGATCGCCGCGATTCGTGGCGG